AACATCTACCAACTAATTTGATCGTTTCCGATTTTAATAATAGCTCATTATGGTAATTTTATTTACACTTATTAAATTTTAATGTTAGTTTTTAGTTTAATATATATAGTAATCTATTGTAAATCGTCCAATGTTTTAATACATTTATGATAATTAGTTGGTAATTGAATTTGTAAGAAGAACAAAATTTGTCCACGTAAATTTGTAATTGAATTTAAACTAAATTATCATAAATTGTCCATGATTATCAGTTAGTAATTGAATTTAAATAAAAAAATTCAAATCAATCGCATATATAAATAGAAAAAGATAAAAACCAAATATCTTAGATATTGCCAACATGTACTAAAATATTCGTAAAATTGAAAAGGCAATAATTCAAATGGGAAAAAAAAATTAATTATTTAGTCCTAACATCCTCTTTATTAAGCTTCATATCACCAGAGACAAACTTTTCTATTCCGCCGCTCTACATTGCAATCCGGCTGTTGGTGCAATACATGTTTGGGCTGTACCATTTGCTCGTTGAAAACCTAAAAATTAAATTTTTTAACATATATTAATAGTTAATAAAATTAAGTAAATATAAATAGTGTATCATAAAAGCTACACGCATAATATATACAATCTACTTTAAAATATAACTAAATTTCATTAAAATGTAAAGTGTTCAAGAAGGCTTACCTTGCACGGAAATCTATAATTTCCGGAATATTACCAGCAAAAAGCTGTGTGGCATCCAGATATGAACTCAATTGATACTCACCTGTTGCAATTTAAAATATATTAACTTGCAATTTAAACAATAAATATGAAAAATATTTATTTTTTATTACTGTTTATTTTTTATTTTAATGACTTCAAATAAAAAATTTGAAATACCTCCAATTTTTTGTCTTATCCTGCATAACTGCATTATGAGAACCCATGGTTCTCCATCTTCAAGTGATTGGAAGTAATTTTCACAATCCAAGAACTCATAAACATAATGACCCCATAGTTCGCAACGGATCACTAAGCCACTATTTTGTAAAAAAAAAATAAAAATAATAATAATAAAAAACGAAATTAATATTTAATGCTAAACAATTTCATTAATATATAAGTGCAGAACTATATATAACTTACTCTAAATCCATCATTGAGAAAGAGATCACTTGCTTTTCTTCTCCATTATGCAAATCTGTATGAATGGGTCGAACCTCGACCACCATCCCAATAGCATCTATAATAAATATTAATACGAAATTTGTAAAAATTTCGGCTAACAACATATATAATAAATAAAAGATTAAACTTAAAGGATTTAATATTACATAAAATATTTACCATAAAGGAGTGTCTCATCGACAATTTCATCATTTTGAAGAAATACAAAACTATGGAAGTTGAAGTTCCATGTAGGGAAATCAGATAGACAGTGAAGGACCTCAGTTTCTCCATTAATTATAACCTTGTAGTTTGCATCAGTAGAGCGGAATTTACCAACGTTTAACTCTAGTTGGTAGTTTGTAAAAAGATATACACCACCTTCCTCAAGCAACCAAGGTAATATAGGGAGACTACGCACGATACCAGTTATTCTTGAACCCTAAAAAATAAATAAATATTATTAATGAGCAAAAAAAAAATTAAACAATAATTAAAAAAAGAAATTGAATTCAACACAATATCCTACCATACTATCGTGGAAAAGAATTTCGCAATCAGTTGGGTGTGATGCATGAGTTGATCTATTGAAAATGCGTATAGCCCTAAGCTTAAGATACGCATTCATATTAATAGCGAGCTGTCTGACTAAGCCATATTGCTCCATAACAAAATTTTTTTTTTTTTTTTTAACTACAAAAAACGTAGAGACTGAATTTTACGAATGATGTGAGTAAAATCTGATTTCTGGCTTACTTATAGTGATAATATGAATGGGAGGAGGTATAAAGGAATTAGAAGTATAAAGGAAACAAATCTTTTAGTAATGATTTATCTCTTAAATATTTAATTGAGAATTAACGGTACAATCATTTTATATCTTAAATAATTAAATTTTATTATTTAATATATATATATATATATATATATATATATATATTACAAACAGGACAATTATATTGTAATTAAATTAAATATAAAATTTGTTATATATTCATATCTCATTATTTAAATTATTAATATATGATAGAATTTAATATTTAAATCTATTTAATATGTAATATATTAATTAGTCAATAAAATGATTTACTAATTGAAATTTAAAAATAAAATTTATATGTAAATATCACGATTTTGATTTATTAATGCTTATATTTATATTTCGAAGTTATAATCATATGTTATAAATTTAATTCTCCTAATATTTAATAGATTTAAATAATTGTTATCATATTATTTAATTTAGATGATTATATGATATGAAGTCATTAGTATGTTAAAAAATTATGTTAATATAATAAAAAATTTATTAATATATAATGTTGGTAATTAGGCTAAATAAACAGATTTAATAATGGAAATAAAGAATTAAAATTGATTTGTAAATAATCAGATTTTGATTTAGTAATGGTTATATTTATATTAGGAAGAAGTTATGGTGATATGTTATCTAATAAATTAAAAATTTTAATAGTGGGAATGACAGTTATCTCATAGTTTGTTATATATCAAATTTGTTATATATTCATATCTCATTTATTAATTTATTAATATATAATAGAATTTAATAAATAAATCTATATATATGTAATATACTAATTAGTCAATAAAATGATTTACTAATGGAAATTTAAAAATAAGATGTATATTTAAATAATCGGATTTTGATTTAATAATGCTTATATTTATATTTGGAAGTTATAATCATATGTGAAAAATTAAATTCTCCTAATATTTAATACTCGGAATAATTGTTATCATATTATTCAATTTAGATCATTATATGAAATGAAGTCATTAGTGTAAATAAAATTTTTTAATAATGGAAATAAAGAATTTAAATTTTGTTATTTAAATAATCCGATTTTGATTTATTAATGGTTTTACTTATATTAGATAAAAGTTATGGTGATATGTTATCTAATAAATTTAAAATTTTAATAGTGGAATGACAATTATCTCATAATTTAAATTACATGATCAGTTGGATAGAAATGTAACGATAATTAAATTTGGTAATTGAATTTAAATAATAAAATTTAAATCAAACGCATGTATAAATAGAAAACATAAATAGACTAACCAAATGTCTTAGATATTGCCAACCACTACTAAAATATTCGTAAAATTGAAAACGCAATATTTTTTCCTAACATCCTCTTTATTAAGCTTCATATCACCACAACCGATATATTGTTCGACTGGCAACCATCTCTATCCTTGCTAGTATTGAGGAAAATTACCATTGCATTTGATAAAATCTGTCCTTTCATGAAGGACAATCTTCCAATGATAGATAAGAATATTGTTCCTCCCTCTATTATATTCAACATCGTAGTTGCGAATAAAATACACGTCGCCTTGTTTAAGGCGTTCTCGAAATACGATCATATGTTGCGAACGTATTAATCCTTTCATGTATGAACCCTATATATTTGAAATAATAAATAACAAAAAAAAAAAAGGATAAATCAGTTGAAGTTTGATATTAAATATATTCAATAATTTTAATGATAAAATACTTGGAAATAATTACCGCTTCATCATGGAACAGGATATGAAAAGCGTTTGGATGATTCGGATCGTCATGAGTTTCATGCAGTTGGACTACTCTCAACTTCAGAAATGGTTTGTTGGATCGACTGACGGAGTCCAATGTACCCATGAAGGGTGCCATAGAATAATACTTGTATTTTGTAAATTTTGTTTTGCTACCGTGAGTGTTGAAGAGGTAATGAAAAACTTTACCTTTATATAGATTTTTTTTTTTATATTGCGTAGAGATAAGGGAATAGATTTGATTTCGGATTTAATGGAAGGTTGTTAAGATGATAAAGGAATGGATACAATGAATTTAATTAAATTGAAAGTCAGACTCCTTGTTTCTCGAACTTAAGTGAAACACGTGAAAAATAATCAAAAGAATATCAATTTTGTTGAGATAATTCAGGAATCTTGTTGAACACGTGAAGTAAGAAAAAAAATAAA